ATGACACGCCATAGTTCCCAATAGTTTGATCATCTTCTGCAATAGAACAAAGCCATAGAGGATAATGAAAATAACATCTTGAGAACAAATTACATGGACCGAGAAGTCCATTTAATCATGTTGTTATCCCATTGACCTGCAGTCAAATCCATCGATGAAGAGGATGTATTCGTTTCATATCTACATGCCCCATGTTTTCAACATTAGACATCTGCTTGAACACACAGAAAAATACTCTTGACAAGAGGATTTGAACAGAAAAAAAACATGGAAAACTGCCGCCGCCCGACTAAACATACCAATAGTCACCAAATTACTGAGCCCTTATCTTTTCAGAAGATGTGCAATGAACGATACCCTTGCTTTTGGTTGATTTTCAGAAAACCAATAGTAGATCCAGGAGGAGGTGAGGGAATTCTAATGCATGTTTCGTACGAAAAACATTGATCAAACAATGTGTACATCACATGTTTCTAGCCGTTCCTTCAGAATCGCGAACCTACAAAGTAACATTTTTTCGTCTATACTGATGGTTAAGCAAAAAGACAATGGTACATCCCATGCCGCTTTGAAGTTATAAGAATGTTTTCAACGCGTGAAGCTGAACTTGGCTACCCAACGATGAAATATCAGTTTGCTTCATGACAAAAAATGATAGTGCTCTTGTGTTAGCTATGATCGCTAGTAAGATAAGCATTGTGTATTTTGGCAAACCGATGTTTAGTTACAGTCAAGCTAAATGAGTTGAACCGAATAGAACTTCTACAAAAAGGCAGAAAGCTAGTAAGCTACAGCTTTAAACCTAAGTGACATACTAAAAAGTAAACTTCAAACCGTAGCAACCCTAACGCTCTCTCTGAACATAAGAGCAAGAATTTCAAAAAAGGAGCATTTGGTGGTGACCCATGTGAGCCTTTATACCATTGAAGTAGGTACAGCATGACTGGAAAAGTAACTTTGGACCGATAAAGGTAAGACAAAAATACAAGTGTTTAAGATAAGCATGGATAGGAGGAAGGGACCTTTTTTTATTTTGTTCTCCTAGGGCCGGGGCTCCCAGTTTTGTGTCGCAGCAGCCTACTACAATGGCTCGTACGAAAAATTCAGTCTTGCTTACCTGCAAATAGAATAACAAGAGCACAACTGAAAGAAAGAAGAACACAAGCTGGAAAAATAGATTCAACAAGCTAACAACCATGTTTTGTAATGCACTCAGCCCACATATGCATTAAACTTCAGTTCAACTAAGCAGGGTGACATTCTGGAAGGCTTGGTGAACTTCTCTTCAGAGGCGGTTTTACGCTTCTTGGTTTTCACCTCTGCATTTTAAGCACCACCCAAATATTTTACAAGAAAAAAGTTACGTAATCTGACCATTCCTTGAGAACACAAGGGGAAGCACCAATATTTTAAATAAACAGTCTTGTGCCTGTAATGAAAGCCACACATGTTATGCTTCCTTCTTGTTGGTCCCAAGAAAAGGTGTCTGCAAAATAAAACCGAAACTAAGGTACAATATGTAAACAATTATCCAACATCATAAAATAGGCTATAAAGCAAGAAGAGCCAAAACCAGGAAACAAATTGATCGATGTGCCCATTTTTTCAAGGATGCCAAAGATGTGCCATTGATAAAAGAAGCAAACAATGTAAGAAAAAAATAATCAACTCAAAAGCAGGGAGGTGAGACGGTGCGGCTGTGAGGGAGATGTCGCCGCTGCTCATCTCAAAGATGATGTTCACCTCGTTCAAGATCCACAACATCACCCCCAGCTGCCTTTCGTCCGCTCTTCCTCCAGTCGGACCATAGCTCGGCTCAGGTGCGGATACCCTGACAATGACGAGAAGGCCATAAAAAGTTGATAATGGAAGGGAGTCAAAGTTGTAAATTACATAATCTGATGCACATATAGAAGCCTGGTAGAAATTCACAAACGGTGTGAGCTATATGTCTTAAAAAGTATAATATGTTAATATGAGCTTTGCTTCGCGCCCCCCACCCCCCCTAAAAATGTTTGCAAGAATGTTAAAGTTACTTATAAAAGGGTATTCTCATACATTAAGATCAAGTGATTCTAATCCTCCCTAATGGATCAAACAAGAGATCCGCTACAATCTAGTTTTTTTATTGAAGGCCTAACTTCTAACCTCCAGCTTTAATCTGCAACGAAGTCTATATATGAATGGTAAGAAGATGCCTTTTTTTAGCGCATCGGTAAGTCATAAGAGGACACAATGTGATAGCCTATACTATGAAGTGAAATCTTCGCCGCCACCTAAGGTTAATGTAAGCACGAGCATGATAACAAAATTAAAAAAATGTCCAGGAGAGAAACTGTATATATATATATATATATATATATATATATATAACAAATAATGCATATCATTCATCGGATATAAGTCTGCTGCCTACAGGAGAGAAACTTTTCTGCTAGTGTGAAAGATACCAAGGTCCTTGCGGAGGAAATATTATGAAGTTGTCAAGGATCAATAATAGTTACATACAATAAAACCACCATGATTCAGATCACCAGAGGAAGACAAGCATAAACAGACATGAGAAAATGCATCTTGTTCAAGTACAACATGGCTAGAAGAGGCACAATGTTTAAGTGCCTCCCTTCATCCCAAATGTAGGGGGAAAACCAAAGATGAATCCACTACAAAGTTCTGACAAGAAAGCTATATTGATCATGTTACATCATTATTTAAACTCTGTGAACAAGCTTGATTTGTCTTCAGTATTATCCAGTTTATAAACCGTGGCAAACTCAGGTATGTGAAACATGATTTAATATATCATCTATGCCAAAATAGATAGCACACATAGATCAATCTATCATCTATGCCAAAATCTGAAGCAACACACAGCTCAAATAAAATATCTGAAGCAGCACATCACTGAAAATATACCGTGAATGAAACAAAGGAGGTATCGCCAGCCCAACGGCCGCACCAAAATAGGGTTGACGATCCAGACACCATCGTGATCGAGAATCCGTTACGTAGGACTGGGAGAAGCTAGATACGCAGACCTCTTGAGAACATTCATAAGCACATTGATATGTTTGTATACTCTACTGTTCTCTGGACTCATTTATCGAAGAAATGACCAACCTCTCACATATTGGTGCTTAACAATGAGTATTGAGCATATAGCTATGAAATTCGGTGCATTATTTCTTAACAGAATTTGGAGTATTGAGCATAACAAGTAAAAATGATTATATATATAATGCCTAAAAGTGAGAATATGACCTGAAAGCACACTCTCATCAAGGTACAGTCAGTCTGCTAAGGTCTTGATTATTATTTTTGTGCCCAAGAAAATAAATCCATGCTTCTCAGCCATTCCCTACAATTGTTAGCAAGTTGTAACTTGTTGCATGAATATATAGTGGCAAGAGTGTAGATGAACATGAATCTGAAACTTACTTGTAAATTAAAAGGGCGTCGATAGAATATACTCCCACGTGAAAATAAGTTGGACGGTTGGTCGCGCATACTCCCAGATGAACGTAAATTGGACGGTTGGTCACGCATGGATGGCAACCAGGGAGGGGTTGATGCAGGTGGCGTCGTTGACTACTCAGCAATAAGATCCTCACCAAGTGGGGCGTTGCCACACCCGTATGATGCAGAGGAACTTGTCGAGTCATAAAGTCCATCTGCTCATAAAGACATCTTTGGTAAAACCAGAACCAATATGATGTCTGACAATTTTATTCCCATAAAGCATTGTGACAAGCAAATGCCAATGAGATTAAAAAGTTATATAGCTCTATGAAGCATTTTAGCAAACAGATGGCGTGGGTGGTTAAGTTCATGCACTGGTAAAACAAAAAAGTGGGGAAGGGGAAAGGAAGGGGACAACCTGAAAGCTTTGATGGATATGTGAAATTCGTCTCTGCACTCATCGCCTGGCAGCATTGAGGGTGTTGCACTGCTAAGGTATGGAGGGGAGGCGATGACGACCATGGCCGGGACAGAGAGCCAACTGCAGGTGCAGTCAACAATGGCGAGCCGCTGATGGGAGCAGAGGACTGTGAGCACAGCACGCAGCGATGGGGACCGCGAGCATGAGATTTGGCACTGCATGCCGTGGGGATCTCCTCCTCCTCCTTCCAATTCCATCCCTCGCCCTCTGTTCTTCACCTCTTGAGATCCTCTCTGCCTCCCCTCTTACCGACTCTCATCTGCTATAGCAAGAGAGAGGGGCAAGGCGGTTGTAGTGATGTACCCGGCCGGATCCCGTGTGTCAGAGCACAGCTGTTGAGTTCGCCGACCACAAGACAGTGATCGGAGGATCCGCGGGGACCGGCAGGGAAGACGGCGACCATCGGGGAAGACGATCGGCAGCGACGGCTCCTTCCTCAGTGGAACACGGCGAAGGAAGCGATTCTAGACATGGTGGGGGCTTGGTCTTCGGCGGCCACCTCGAGCCCTTCCGTCACGGTCGCGCGACCTCAGATCCGGGAGCCGCTTCCTTGACGATGCGCGTCGCGGACGTGGAGCTTCACCGCCTAACCTTTACGATATGCAAGCGGATCCGACAATGGGGAGAAGGGTGGGAGCGGTGGAGGTGTCTGAGCGGGAGGGAAGCAGGGGCGGCGGCGGCGGCGGAGCAAGAGATGGGGGCAGCGCCGCATCGGGAGGAGAGGGGAAGAGAGCGGTCGCACGAGGGGTGGATCGAGAGGAGGGTTTTTTTCGTGCGAGGGAGGCTAAGGCGTCGTTATAGTTGTCCCTGGTTAACCTACGAAATTTTGTAGATTTTTTTAGGACGAAAAAAAATCAGTGGAGGTGGGACGAAAATTGACCGGCGAAGACTACCAACTGCTCCATTAGAAGTAGAGGTTGGGCCTTTTTTCACCATGTGTATCCACACTCCAGATTGCAACTCTAGTCGTCAAGGTAGCAGTAGCAACCTTCTTGAATCTTGCATTTGCTGTACCTACATGCATTTCATTATTTTTTTATGTTCATTGTTTTTTTAGGGAATGTCCCCAGTCAGCTTGGCAAACTCAATATGCACTGTGAAGGTTCTGGCTCTCTACTCTTCTGGCTCTCAGTTGAATGCAGTTCTAAATATCCTCAGGTGCTTTCCCCGCTTGGAAAAGCTCTATTTCACTGAGTATTCACCTTTGATTGCCTTGTCAATTTGAAATTTTATTTTGAGGTAAGTTAGCTGATAGTAACCTAATCTGGTTAGAAATGGCTCTAACATATGGCACTTTTCTCTTCTTTTTTTTTCAGTTGAAGAAACACCCAAAGATGGATATGAAAAATGTGCACCTGTGTGACCCACTAGATCCAATCGAATGCCTCGCGATCCATCTAAAAAAATTGGTGTTTGAAAATTACAAAGGCCATGACCAAGATGCTGACTTTGCCAAATTCTTTATTTTGAACGCAAAAGTGCTGAAGGAAATCAAAATTTCAAGCCCTAAGGGCAACGATATTAAATGGGTGGACGATCAACACAGGCTGCTACAAGTGGAAGATAGAGCTTCTCGAGATGCTGAACCTGAATTCAGAAGTGAGGTGGACTTTGGAATAAGTCTAGGAGGATTTCGATGGCTCTGGCTCTG